TTATTTTTATTTTAAATCAAATTCAATACATACTCTTAAAGTACAGGAATTTGGACGAGCTCAAGATGTGGTCCAGAGTATTGAAGGACCTCAAAGCAGGAGCAGTAGAAAAATGAAATTAATTCACGACTCCACGGAAAACAACTTGCCCATGTTTCAACAATTATTACCATTTCTAAATCCCAGAGAACAGCTCATCTAGAAAGCACTTTGTATCATGTACACTCTTGAGAAATTATGCAGGGCACAGTTAAACTTAAGCATTATAAAAAAGACAAATTATTGCTTTAGTCTACTTAAAATCAAACACTTTATAGGGCATGTAAACTGACTATCTGTCTGCTTTTCCATTGGTAGGCACTACCAATCTTTTTTGTAAAATGATCACAAAAAAAAGATTGTTCAGGTAAATGTTTACTTGTTTACTTGTTCAGGTAAATTAAAGCCAGAAATACAGATTAATTTTAGATTTCCTAATACATTGGTATTAGTTATCTAGAAGTGCATCTAAATGCTTTCTACACGCCGAGTCGTGACTCTTCAGGTTCAAAGCCAAACCTTTCTGAGGCAAGAGAAAGGACTCAGGTTTGTCATAAGTGGACTATTATAATCCACCCAAATTGAAGGGCAGCCAAAGGTCTGCTTAAAAGAATAGAGGCTGCAATTACAGAAAGCAGAAGGGATCATTTAGGGACAAATTGTGAAAGTCCATCTTCCGTTTCATCCCGCACAGAGAAGAGGGGGTTTGGCGCTTCTAAGAGTTAGAGCAAACCTTGCTGGCGGGGCTGATTGTTTTAAATCTGTGCACGTACGTTTCACAGAGTGCCAAAGCTTTGAGGTCGACCAAGCCTCACCTCTGAGACAAGATCCCAAACATCCTCTAAATTAGAGGTCAAGAGAGAAATGACATCAGCTTCTTTTATACAGCACCCCTCGTGCCCAGCAAACGAGCAAGGCAGCTGGGGTCAGTCAGAGAAACAGCAGTCTGATTGAACTAAAGAGGGAAAAGAAAGAGCAAGAGATGAAGAGAAATCTGTTGAGTGCCATAAGAACTGTAATGAAGAATGTGAGGGTTTCCTTTTTCACTTTGAAACTCTTTCTACTCTACCATGATGCCCATATCAAGTATGTCAAATCGAGGGCTAGTGATTTATTCTTTCTAACTCTCATGGACAAACACCTTTCAGTGTGTATTGTCAGTGTATATACTGATTCAGGATATGTGTATCTTGCAATATGCATGCGTTTTGCTTGAGAATCCCATCAATACGAGAGACATCCTCTCATGTGCGCACTTGGAGATCAGATACAGAGAATACTGCAGATCAAAACAGAAGTTTGAGGGAGGTAAATCAATGGATATTTAATTTACATTCAATTCCTTCTCCCCTGTGATCTCCCTCCACATTTCACACCATTTCATAATATAATAATATTGGGTCTGATCTGTGTAAGCGAGGCCTGGCTATGTGCTCACAGGCACAGAACTTAATGTTCAATGGTTTGACTGTCTTACTGCCAAGCTGCAGGAACACTGACACATATGTAGTACACACTTGTGCTCTCTTGCTCACACACAAATACACCTTTCAAAATCTTGGTATATATATAAATATTTTAAATGTTTTTGAAAAGAAACTTAAGCTCATCAAGGAAGCAATGATTTGCTTAGAAATACAGTAAAAACAGTAATATTGTGAAACTTTATTACAATTTAAAATTATTGTTTTCCATTTTAATATATTTTAATATAAATGTAATTTACTCCCGTGATGGCAAAGCTATATTTTCTGCAGCCATTACTCGAGTCTTCAGTGTCACATGATCCTTCCGAAATCATTGCAATATGCTGATTTGGTGCTCAAGAAACAAACACAAAAAAAAGATCTTGCTGACCCTAACTTTTGATTGGTGTAAAGATGCACACATGAACACAAATGTAAACATAAAAGGCCTACAGGAACCTACTGAATCTTTCCACTGCTAAGTGAAAGAAATAATTCATAGTATAACAGGAAATTCCATTGCCAAGCATCCATAAAAGTGTCTTATATTGGCTGTGTCTCAAAACCTAATGAGCTGACTCACTCTCTACATTAAATGGCCCGTTGTCTACATAAACATCATATTAATTAAAACACAATGTCTCATTTAGGACTAGCTTCATAGAAAGAACTCAGCTTCATTAGCAGGCATTTCACATGTGTGCCATGCAGCATATTGGACTGCACAAGATTCATCTGATGCCAAAGTCCCTTCAAAGCCTGTCAGTCCACTCACTGGCCATCTTAGCAAACTCTGGGCAGCTATTATGTATCTAAAGCGGTGTCTCACTTCATTCCCTATGTTGCAAATTTAAGCACTTGATCAAGTAAACGACATTGATGACCCAATTACATGTGACATGACAACAAGTCATGTATTAAAAAATGTAGTTGGTATTTATCAACATCGCTGTAAAATGCCATTGTGCATCTTCGTTGCATCTTTTAAAAATAAATGTAAAATGTTTATTTTAAACAAACACACATCCTTCCACATATTCCATGTCCCTGACACTCTAACCCAAATATACAACATAACATTAGATCCACTAAACACACTGCCAGTGAGAGCTCCTTTTTTTCTATTGTACATGTTGGTTGTTCAGTGAAGAAACAATCATTTATTAATATTCACATGACTTTACATATGAAAAAGTAATCGTATACTAAGTTTTAACACAAACATAGGTTTCTTTTTACACACTGGGCATTATGGAATTCTTCTTGGTGTGCCTCGCAGTAGCCATATTTTATATTTCACCTCTTCCAGCCAGCTGTCATTGAAATGGCATCCCGGCATGTTGATGGAGACAGCACATGTGGATACAATTTCTCAGGGTGCCGATCATGTTTGGTGTGAGATGTACAGCAGCGTTCAGAAATAACTTCTCTTTTTTTCCCTGTACTGACCACTGTCATTACTATTTCATACATTATTTTTATTAAAATATTTCTTGTTCCTATGGTAATGGAATTATTTAGGTGTTTACATAGACAATATACATAAACCCTGGAATGTGTGATTCTGATTGCGTAATATCAGCTTACTGTAGAGGGGTCAAATCATTCTAATATGTTGATTTGCTGCTCAAGAAACATTTCTTTTTATTATCAATGTTGAAAACAGTTGTGCTGCTTATTATTTGTGTGGAATTTTTTTCTGTTTTTTTTAAAGCATTTATTTGAAATAGACTATTTGTAACAATGGAAATGGTCTTTGATGTCACTTTTGATCAAATAATGTATCTTTGCAAAATAAAACTATTAATTTCTTAAAAAATAAAATAATAATAATAAATAAAGATAAAAATAAAGTAAGAAATAAATAATTTTACTGACCCCAAACTTTTAACTGGTAGTGTGCATGGTATGGTACACATTATCCAGCAATATTTGGCCACTCTATATGAGCCAACATTAACCATTAACAATAAACAGAATTTGAAAGTAGTATAATCTTGCGGTCTACAATCTGAGGACAGCCTTGGGTCAAGAGCACACCTATGATAACCTGAAAAAATCTTTAGGTGGCCCAATAAAGGTTATGAGATACAGCCAACAAATTTAATTCCGTCCCTCCCGAACCTATAACATTATTATCAATGTTGAAAACAGTTGTGCTGCTTATTATTTGTGTGGAATTTTTTTCTGTTTTTTTTAAAGCATTTATTTGAAATAGACTATTTGTAACAATGGAAATGGTCTTTGATGTCACTTTTGATCAAATAATGTATCTTTGCAAAATAAAACTATTAATTTCTTAAAAAATAAAATAATAATAATAAATAAAGATAAAAATAAAGTAAGAAATAAATAATTTTACTGACCCCAAACTTTTAACTGGTAGTGTGCATGGTATGGTACACATTATCCAGCAATATTTGGCCACTCTATATGAGCCAACATTAACCATTAACAATAAACAGAATTTGAAAGTAGTATAATCTTGCGGTCTACAATCTGAGGACAGCCTTGGGTCAAGAGCACACCTATGATAACCTGAAAAAATCTTTAGGTGGCCCAATAAAGGTTATGAGATACAGCCAACAAATTTAATTCCGTCCCTCCCGAACCTATAACAAAAGTGTCCCTCGTGGGCCAAAATGACCCGAAGGCCAAAAATGACACTAATTTTATTTTTGGTCCAGAAAGCTTATATTGGTCCATTTTTATGATTTATTTCTGATTTTGTATGTAGGTTTTTTTTATTTTATTTTTTTGGTGATTTTTATTTTATTCACATTAAATTCTGGATATTTTTATGGAAATTTGCATAGTTTTATACATTTTTTCACCAAAAAACAAAAACTAAGAAAGACACTATTTCTGCATATTTATACTTTAAGCATGATGATCCATCAGGACCTAGGTCACTGAGTGTCTCTGTTTCCACCATGATAGAGCATTAACTTTTAGCAACAGTCCCCGGATATTTGAATTCTGAATCGCCGCAATACGTACCTGAAGAAACGTAATAAAAACACAGCAATACGTACCTATATCAAGGTAATAAAAACGTGCCAGGGTTGACGTTTTGAACCCGTGTTTTAGCGCCACTCAGTGGACATTTCTCTTTGAAACTGCGGCGAAACGTGCAGTAAGGTACGTAAAAACGGTGTTGCAGAAATGTACGCAGAGGTACGTATTTTTATGAGACTGGGTTGATTTTTATAAATTTTTTCACCAAAAAAAAAAACTAAAACAAAGAAAGACACAATTTCTGCATATTTATACTTTAAACATGATGATCCATCAAGACCTAGGTCACTGAGTGTCTCTGATGCCATCTGGTTGGGAAAAATTACATAAAATTGCATTTAATGATTACAGCCACTAGAGGGGCCTATTGAACCCTATGGAGATTCTTAAATGAGCCAAACAAGTGAAATCTTTAAATCTACACCAACTTGAGGCTTCATTAAGCTTTCAGATATATATCAAAACTATATATGTGAGTATGTGAGTTTTTTGTGCATTGGGGACATTCTGCAGTCTCAGCCCTTTGTTTGGGCATGCATCTTTTCTGGATTGTGTCAGATTTTATATAGTAAAAAAAAAATCAAATAAATAAAAAAAATGCTGTTTTTTTCGGGCATTCCATTCATTCCTATGGCCGGGTCAAAATTTATGTCATAATTGTAGGTGTAATACTTTTTTTATTACACCCACATATAATCCTCGAATCGACTCAAATTTTTTTGTGTGTGCTCCATGCTCAAGTGTGACAAAATTAAATAAAAAAAAATTCACAGTGTTTTCGTAAATTCCATGCTTTTCCAGTGGCGTGTCAAAATGACCCGTTTTTTTTTTTTGATGTATTCCCGGTTCAAGTGTGACAAATGTAACAAAGTCTCATACCATAACGATCAACGCTCGATTTTTAAAAAATCTTTAAAAATGAGTTTTGGGTTAAAATGACCCGAGGGACGGATGAGGGTTAAGCAAAAACTCCAGGGACTCCAGATGCAACAGAATTAAAAGAAAAAAAAGAGAGAGAGAGAGACAATTATAAGAGAAATTAGAAACATGGTTAAAGAACAAAACAACTTAACTAATTTCTCAACTGAAAGTGTAACAGCCTGATAAGGAGAACACTGTACTTGTGAAAAATAGATGTGTGGGCATTGTGATAGGGAATGAACAAAGGGAAGAAAACAAAAGAGGAGCAGAGGAGAGGAGGAGGAGAAAGGAAGAAGAGAAGAGGGAGAGCGTGCAATAATTACGTCCCTCTCTGGGACTGAGCTTCAGAAAATCTGCAGGATGCTATAATTCTTGTCTTGATGATTTAAAATCTGCAATGAACGGCCTTCACAATACACTGGAGATTTTGCCTCGGTATAGCCAATAACCGCTATATAGCTGTCCTAATTAAGATGCAGATGCAATCTCTGTGCGCAAAAACAGTGCAATCATGCGACAACCTAGGTTCCTACACATTAGTGCTTTTAACATCTATTACCATGCTGATATATTCAGATAAGACTCGCAGTTTGAGTTCTTCTTTTTCAGCTTAAACTTAGTGTAGTGGATTCTTGTGATGAAAACAGGCTGACCATCTTTCCAGAACAAAAATTTGCTGTTTTTGTGAAAAAAAAATAAATAAATTTGCACATAGAGTGTAGGAATGAACTAAGAGAATTGAGAATGTTATGAGACTCATTCTACCACCAGTAACACCGATACAAATGGCAGGTATTATTACAGCTCCAGAGCCTCAGGAAGTCACATCTAAGGAAATGAGCTATAATGTGAGAGAGCGATCATGAGCATTAAGATAATCTATAATGATGTCACGCTACGCTGTTGAGGGAACACGCTGGAGTCACGAGGAAACGTTTAACAGTCTTTAATCAAGAAACACAGGAGATAATCCACAATGGGAGCTTGAGCCAACACACGTAGAGAACAAGTGGACCTGACAAACACAAACTGAACAGACTAGGACTTTTAAACACA